TACGTACGTACGTACGTAGTACGTAGTACGTAGTAGTAGTACGTAGTAGTACGTAGTAGTAGTAGTAGTAGTAGTAGTAGTACGTAGTAAGTACTACTACCTATAGGTTGTTTGTAGATGCTCTATATATATATATATATATATATATATATATATATAATTTGCATGTGAGTAGATATGTGGTGATTTTTGATACACCAAGATTCTTCAAATCAATGGTATCAACATTGGACTAGCCATCGAACTAGACATTGGTTCAGTTGGACTTGGTTCACCGGACAAACCAGTCAAATGAAAGTATAATAATAAAAATTTCAGGTAATATACAAACAAAATGCGAATAAACGAACCTTCATAAAAAAAAAAATGCAAATAAAGGAAAAAACTGAAAACGACAAAGTCCAAGAAATTTATAAAATCATCCAGAACACAAGGAAAAGTACATAACATGATCATGTACTTTTGGTACAAGGAGGTCACAATCAACCTTGGTTGTTGATTATGAAATTGGGCAACAGGGGGTGTGTCATTGGCTAGGTTGAAAGTCTATAAGAAAATATTTTAAGATTAATGACACACACAAGCTATGAAATTTTACATCTTGTAGCGAGGGTCAATTGCGACCTCTTTGTACCAAAGGTAAAAAGTCATATAGTATACAATTTCATACGAAAGTTATAACTTCATATATAAGCATGATTAGAAGCAAAAAGTACAAAATAACATTAATTATCGCATGAAGCACTATATGAAGGCACTAACATTAAGCAATAACCAGTTAGATGATCAATTCGCAAGTAGATTATGAAGTACTGACTTGAATTCTATCATATACATAAAAATTTCAAAGCCCTGTACTCATTACTTGCATTCTCAGAGTCAAAGACATAAACCATGAAGGCATAAAGTGTTAAACCAATTCAAATATTAAAGTTATATTTGTACATAAATGATGAAGGGGTTATTCTAGAATAAACCACAGTAATAGTGAATTTATAATTTCTTACTTCGTAATTTTTTACAACAAAATTCCCTTGCAATTATAAAAATTATATTGATGGTAGCTTGTTAGAAAATTTTGATAGGGCATAATTGTAATTTTAAAGTGCTTTTAAAATCCAATCATCATTTGAAAGTCAAAATATATCTTTTTAAATTTGAAATAATGTTTTGAACGGATTTTAAAAACATAAATATACCCTTCGTAAAATACATGCACTATTTATAGCCAAATGTTATTTTTGAACATAAAAGGGCATTTTATGGTCAAAATTGTCGGATTAGGAAATTAGTTCACCATTTGTGTGGTATTTGGAATAGCTCCTGATTGAGTATACATAAATTTTAAAATGAGTAAATGCAAATCATATTATCTTCATCATCTTCATCTTCATCTCATTCCTCATCATTTCCACCTTGCTCATCATTTTGCCTATATGTATGGATGTATTACAACATCCTCCATATTCATTACTTAATTTTTTTGTAAGTAAAGTGTCATCTATATTCCATAGAAAGTGGAATAAACAACATAAAAAAAAAGAATGAGCAAACAAATGACATATTTGTTACTCATATGAAAGGCACGGAACATACACAAAAATGGAATTGTGGAGCAAATTCCATATTGCAACAATTTTCATAGTTTTTTAAAAAATTTGAATAATTGAACAGAAGAAATTCTTCATATGAATTTAAAACACAATACTAAAGAAATCCTATGGAGCAGTTTCCATAGTTCAACATTTTTCATAGACGCATTCAAGTATTAACCAACAAAAAATCATTTTCATTAAAAAAGAGAAATGCATGGAATCTTGATTCCTAACTATGGAACATTTCCATATTTCAACATTTTGGACAGTTCCATTGAAGGATTAAACCTACAAAAAAAGAGGAGGAAAAAAAAAACAAAAAATGGAAAGTCGATATCATAAAGAGTCACAAAACCCACTGAAAGCCCACAATATTCAAGCCCATTAAATCAATATCCACCATATCGACTGCGCTAAAGCCACTAAACATCCCTAAAAATAACCATTACAATGATTCAAGTAAAAAAGCCAATATTTTTGTAGCCTTAAAAAAATCCTTTTTAAGTATTTCTAAAACGTGAATTAAACAAATTAGAAAATAAACCAGTTAAATATAGTAAAAAATAAGTGGCTGAGAGTCCTCCAGGAAAGTCACTGGAAAATTAGCAAATCAGGGTTTTCCGGTAGAGAGATGACAAGCAAAAATTCAACCTCTCTCTATCTCTCCACTTTTTAAAACACAAACCCACCTAAATATCTTAACCCAAAATGCTTTAAAAGTATTGAAAATTAAAAGGTAATGTTTTGTTGGTGTTAGCCTAGGTATCAAGCTGCATATTATCTGGTTCGGGACACCAGGCTTGTCTGGTGGGCCCATTGGTTCTTGGTCATGCCATATAGGCAGTTGTGCTTGTGTGTCATTGCCTTCTAGTATAAATATCAGTATGGACCAATGACCAAAATCAGTTATATTGGAAAAAACATCATCATCATCGTCATCATCCGAGTCTTATCCAATTATTTAGGATCGGCTACATGAATCATGTTCTGCCATTCTACTCTTAGCATGAGCATATAACAGAAATTTAAGATTCAAGAAGAGCTGTAGCAAAGTTTTATGCTGGCAGCCTTACCTAACGCAACCCACCTCCTTTATCTGGACTTGGGAGTGGCATGACCAGCTTGTGACCGGCCATGGCAGGGTTGTTGTGAGGAGGTTGAAGTTTGTGGGTTTATTTCATGCCAAAATCAATAATCCCATGATGTATTTGTATATGCAATTATGCATATATGTGTAATATATTTAATATACTCATGTATATGCTTGCGTGCTGTATTTATGAGTGCGTGCGTACCATATGCATGCATAAGGCTTTTATCCATGCTGGATGTATTTATCCATACATGCATCCCAGATGTGTATATATTGATGCATGTGCATGCTGTATGTTGCGTGTGGCCTGATATGGTTTGCTCCTTCAGGATGCCATTAGTCGGAAAATCAGCTTAGATACACTTGTAGAATTTGCTGTTACACAGGGCTCACAGTGGATCTTCATAACTCCACATGATATCAGGTATGAACTAAAATGATGATCATGTTTATTGGTTGCTGTGAAAATGAAATATGCTTCGTAGGATGTGAAACTAATAGGACCTTGGGTCTTGGTTAGATGCAAAGTTAAAATGATATTGCCTTCATGGTCTCTGAAAAACAATCTCTCTCTCTCTCTCTCTCTCTCTCTCTCTCTCTCTCTCTCTACTCGTACCTCCTACGACGTAC